GCTTTTACTCAGAATGCTCATTTCCACTCATCTTCTAGGGACTGAGCGGAAACAGGGACAAACATGTTACTTCGACTTGACTTTCAGTGGCCATTATATATCCGTGCCTTAGGCAAGTTACCCGTAGATTACTTTGAAAATTCACCAAAACGCTTTTGTGATTTGAGTATTCACAACTCGGCTCTGTAAAACATAAACAATGTAATTACCATTGTGATACACTATAAGATGTATTAGCTTCAAACTCAAACAGGCTTAAAGCCTGAAAAGGTCGACGACGCGATGCCAAATTAAATTATTTGTAGATGTGGTTTACACCCATTTCTTAAAGGTCTTTTTATATTCGATGGCTTAAAGCAGCTAGAGGCTGTCGGTTGTGAAAGAATAGCACACTAACCAAGCAAAACCTTCAGGAAAGGTTACTAACTAGTGGAAGCCCCTGATATTGTTTCAAACCCGTAAATTCTGTGAAACAGTCATGTAATAATCGAAGGTCATTGAATTTTTCTGGTTTTTAGGGAATGTTGGAGCATTCTATCAAGGTCTACAAGCGAATGGTAAAAAGTAGCGCTGCATCAAAGTTAGAACAATTAGATGCATCCTTGGCAAGTGGTGGATGCCGGTTACTTGACAAATATTGTTGATTGGCGCAACCCATGCTTTTAAAAATGGTTACTAAAAGGAGATCGAAGCGGATTGTTCATGATTCACATATTGTTGAATGCGAGCGATTCCTGACAAAAATGCCATGAGTCCGAACTGAAAAAAATCGTTGCATACCATGGTTATTTCTGGGATTGAAACATTAGAAATCAATTAAGTCCCAGATGTTGTGGAAGAATGTGACGAAATTGTCCTAATTTATGCTATGTCAAGTCACATTACACTTGGTCCGACACCAAAGACGATTGAGGAGTGATTGATTGATGTGATAATCTAATTCCAGGTGAATGGTCATATTCCTGGATACATCCATTGTGGTAGAAAATTCTATCCGGAATCGATTGGATCGCTACCTTTTTGTTGCATGTAATTGCTGGATCATAGAAGTAATGGCAGCAGTTATCTTTACAACACGGTTTGAATTGGATTTCTCCCACATTCCTGGATACACCGAGGCAGTCGTTGGAATAAGGCGGGCTTACTCATTGACTCTTTGTTCGAGAAAAATACGAAAATTTACGAATAATTACTTGTATTCGGTCACATTTATCCTATATGGCACGTGGAATTCCCCAGAACCGTTTGTTATAACGTTGTGCCTTAAACAGAGAAGTTGGTCTCTCAAAGTGTGCCGTCTGCTACTCAGACTGAAATTTCTCTGTTATTCACAGAGCCCGATGTTACGTGCGATTTGTAGGTATGTAGGACAACGATCAAAACAGTGACTATCAATTGCACTGCTATATTTCATCTGCCTCATGTGGTCTTAATCAAAATGTTATTCGGCATTGACAAACCAGAGTTACTCAAGGCCGACGAAAATTTGTTGAGGCAGGTGGGTCTTTTGTACCTGAACTGCTACCCAGACTAACTGGGTGGTGCGAGCAAAAGAAAGACTTGTACCAAGCCAAGTGGGGACTTGTCGGGTGATTTAAAATCGTGCATACTGTTTAAGAAGCACGATAAGATTATGCTTTTCCATTCTGAGCAATTATGCTTTAAGCTCAACTCCACAACCCACACAACCATTTGGGTTGATATATGGTCCATAAAGGCACCTGAATGCATGCGAAACGACCTGCGTCAATAGATTCTATCAAATTGTGTAGTTTACCCCATAGTTTCATGATAGTTTGGCTAGTTAGGAATTTGCTCTTCTGAATAACACAGTTTTGAATAACTTAGTTACACTTCACAAAAGAATCAACTATGAAACATTTCGTCAATTGAGCTAAGGCCGCGTGAACAGACAAAGCCAATTTGAGCTAATTTCAGTTTTTTAGTAACTAAACGAACAATATCACAGATCCATCGGTTGACCGACCACAGAAATCTTGTAACTTTTGAAGCTGAAACATGAAGCATTTCGTATTATGTTAACCTGAATAATAACTTTCGTAACATGACCGCATTATTTTGCGGATTAAACAGGAAGAAATTATCTGACAAGGTAAAACAAAACGTCGTTGTCTTCAATAACGGACTTTGTTTGCTTCCACTGCAATCGAGTGCACCGGAAAGCCCAATTCCTGGAAGGTTAATTGTCATGTGCTAATTTCGGTTGAAGTAGCAATGGTGACACCGTTGTTTGACTTCAAACCTTTCAAAAAAGGAGACTGACTGTACAGGGAGGATAATTCTGATACGCCTACATTCGTTCACTTCATTTCTGGAGTGTAGTCTACCACATTCGTTCAAAGTATCTACACGGCGCAATCGTCCAGGGTTTCACAGGGAGATAGAGTTTCTCGATTGGAAAGCTGTCAGAAAAAGACTGCGCTGCCAGAAAGTGGTTCATCTCCTTAAATAGTATTTCTTGAAGGATCGACTCAGAATGAATGAAAGTTGTTTCATTTTACTATACAATTCTGGGTCAGTAGTTGTTGCAACTACCCGGTTTCTGTTGGGAAGCCCGGTCGTGGGGGCCAGTTTTTGTGGACCAAACATGCAACGGATCCATGGTGTTCCAGCCCCTGGTTTTCGACTACTTCGTGTAGTCTTTGTCGAATCTTATATTTTAGTCACTCAAAACGGTATACAGTTCTTTTCCCTTGGTTCTCTCACAGTCTGTTATGAAAATTCACGCCGGCAAACTTAGAGACTAATCCATCAACTTCTAATTAATCTGCCATCCTAATTTCCCGTCGGTTTCTAACGCATTACTCCTAAAGTGATGACAAGCCACATCGAATGGATTATCTTATAAATAGTCACACACTTCTCAGCTGTTGTCAGGTAGATGCGGACATCCTCACAGGCTTAAATTCTCACTGCAAAGAAGTTGAAACTTATCGTGGTTTAGTCTTTTGACTACATCTGTAGCCCATACCTGGGGGTTTCAACCTACCACCAGTAAAGTTTCTCATCCCAGGTTTGTCAGTCGGTGGAGATCTGACCGCCACAATTCCCTGATCCTGCAGCTTGAAAGTTAGGACGGGCAAGGTAACTTGTTTTTTCAAAAGATTTGCACTACTGTGGCACCCAGCCCCACTCCCTCATCCGCGGGCAGACTCTTGAGCAAGAGATCTCCGTTAGGAACCCTAGCAGTCTTTGTTTCTTGATTTGAGTTCCTGAGAGTATCCTACATCCATAAACGTTCCAATTGAAAATAAAGTCATGTCACACAGGGCCCTCAGCCTTATCGTCTTACTGTACGCAGCAGGGCGGGTGAGCAATAACACGCTGCTAATGAAGCCTCCCTCGTTGCACTTTCGCGTATCACCTCATCTGATATACCCTATTCCACTGTGAGCACTTCCTACACATAACTCAGCGCTGGGGTCGACCGCTTCATCTGTCTTGCATCACGCTCAGCAACAGCTTCTGTGCGCTCATCCTAATTAACTACCCGGCGGCTAATGTTCGCCGTCGCGCATTATTCATTTACAGCTTATGGAGAGGCACAAATCCCTTAACTATGTGGTGTGCACCAACATACCAGCCTCGAACCCAAACAGACCAAATCGCCGTCATTTACCATTGATAAGCGTTGATCACTCCCTGCTGCTTCCCTTGGAATAGCTGCGCACACTCGGACCGTGCTCCTGTCCGTTGCTACTTTCCTTCGTGCTTTTCACGGATACACAAAGCGCTTCCTCGCGGTGCAGTCCAACAAATTTAACCATTAATGGTCATATCGTAGATAGGTCCGATGAATATTTATCCAAAATAGAACTATTGTTATATCAAGCGTAAAGGCCAAATACTCCATCTGTCGTGTAATTATCCAAACTGGTGTCCAAATCAGTTGGTGAGTATTGCGTGTACTGGATACATATCTGTCATAGACAATAAATCAAAGGTTTCGGAAGTTTCTGGTAAACGGATATTTATCAAAGGCAGTCTGACGGCAAATGACCTAGGAGTAACAATGCGGAAATTGTATTAGGGAACGCAAACCGTGTTCACTCAAGTTGACAGGAAAAATCTAATCAAACTATTATCAGATATCAGTTCACGCCACTGCAGGTAAAAGCAATGACCAACGTTTTTAGGCTTGGCAACGCAGACGGATAACTTTCTTTCTATTCCATATCCGTGAGACATTTTGCTGCCATGTGATATCAAGTCGAAAGGCCAGACTAGGTCACACGAATTCTCACCACCTAATTGAGTTGGATACGAATGATCAACAGTTTGTTGAACTTTCAGATCCGTATTAAAAAGAACCAACGACTATACAAAAGAACTTCAGCAAGGTAATTTACAGACCAATGATGAAGCGCTAGTGTGTGCGATTTGATGAAAAGTGTTGTCGAGACGAATCTGTTTCAGCCCCAAAAATCGTTTAAGTCCCATGCATCTGGTTGGCGTAGAGTAGGCCAGTCATTTTTGAAAACCTCAATTGTCAACAGACTGCGCATTTTTGAGTACGCTGGCTGTCGTTAGGCTGGCGTTGTGTATTTCCGAGTGTTCCCTTCAGGCATGTTGCAAAAGTTGGAAAGTTTCTGATTTTATGTGAAACGTTTGGCGTGAAATTGTGGTACCACGGAGATTATAAATTAAGACCACGCGATTTTTTTTAAAGTATTCGGCATATGCTCAGAGTCAGAAATGATATACCTCGCTGTTTGCTGTCCAACCATCTAACCACCCAATTTTTATTCGTTTACTTACATATATCTGATGCAATACCGTCCCAGATTTTATTTCCTGAACGGGAATCGGACTTTCCGTCTATTTTAGCCGGATCAGCTCAACGTCAGCAAAACGAGTGTCTTACCTCCCAATTCACAGCCATGGCATAAATCCAATATGCCACACAGTGGTGATGAATTGCCAGCATTCAATGTCATACGAAGCTATATATGAATCTGCAGTAACTTCTCCTATGAGTGATGATGGAAACTCAAGTTGGTCGGTTCGATTTTGACGACGGTGGAACCTATATTGGTCAATGGTTTCAGGGCTATGCACACGGCCTCGGCTTGGCAATCGGGCCAAACGGAGTGGGAGAATACTCAGGAGAATGGGAGTCCGGATTTGAAACTTGTGGAGTGTATATATGGCCTAGTGGAAACCGTTACACAGGAACCTGGTCAAATGGCAAACGGCATGGTAATGGGCAACAAATTCGTGGCAAATGGGTCTACCAAGGTCAGTTTACTAACGGAACCTGCGGGCCATTTGGTGTCAAATCCGCCACCAACTGCATAACCAGTTACGAGGGCAGCTGGAATATGAACCGATTCGAGGGATTTGGAGTGGAAACTTGTTCGGACGGAAGTAAGCTAAGTGTACGGTACCGGTTGTTTTGTCATTTTGTCCAATAGTTCCGGTACATCTGGAACAAAATACAGAACAACAATATTCTGAGACGAATGTTGCTGTAATCTTATTGGATATTATTATTCTCCCTTCTTTTTCTATAGTCGAACAAGCCAACGACCACCATTCTCCCCTCTGTCAGTTAACCAGTTTCTCAAGAATACTTTCTCATTTTATTACCCAGATTTTTTTTTACAAATTTTCAGTTTACAGGAAATAAGGACACAAATAGACATCTACTTATCAACCTGAAAGTTGAGACTATTCGGTCTATCTACCGGACGTTCTAGTTTATTGATAGATTGAATGACATTCATGCATGCAGAACACACTTATTTGCTTAAGTTGGTTATCAACCTCCTTCTTTCTATATGAGACAATAGAAGTGTTGGACAATTTGGAAGCATATTTTTCATAAATGGTCTCAGTACAGATTGACTAGCAAAAGGCGTAAGCAATGTTTACTGAAACCGAAGAAGTTTTGCAGCGTGCTCTGTCTAAGTGACCAATATGTTTCTCCCCGCTTGGATGCGCACCTGAAACAGCCGGTCCATACGCGGGACCAGTGGTTAACACAGTCAGCCACTTCAAACCGTGGCATCACGTGTTCAATTGGGACTGCCAGAATGAGACATATCGGTAGCCACCATATCAACAGTTGTGCTTAAAGGAACTTATTATCAGATTACGTGACAAGGTCATTCTCTGTGATCTACATTTTAGTGGCTATCAAATTTCAATTTATGGGTGAGAACGAGGTTCCGCCAACAATCTGTAAAAGCTAGATAGTGTGCTTTTTCAATTTACATACACAGCGAACATAAGGCTCCAGGGAGCCTTCAATAGTCTTCTATTAGCTGTCAACTTCCAGGTGCGAAGGGAGCGTTTCAACAATGTTGAATGATATTACGCCGTACGTATCGAACGTACGTCCTTACCGTACGTCCAAAATGGCAGAACATTGGTTTCTACTAATTGTTTGAATCATCCGGGTGAAAAAGTCTTGACAGATATCTGAATGTCTTCTTCAGGTTTGTCTGAACTAGTGGATGGTTTGACTATTTAGCTCTCCAATGACGTCGGCAGGCACAAAATGGACACCCCCATTTTCTGAATTCAATTCATTTGTCTGGGAGAGACTACTTTCCGTTTACTTTTCCAAGTCTGACGTTCGTTCTTGCTAACAAACTATAGCTACTGCTAAGACTCACCATCGTTAGCGACGCACTTCAACGTTCTACGTGCATTTCGGAGTCAGCATCTGATAGCCATTGAGTTCTTCTTTCTCAGATAAACCTTCTGCCAAGCAGGGTCTGCCAAGTAGGGTCTATGCGCATTTTAACGCAAGGATTTCTAGGTAATTGTTCAGTCTTCTGATGATATGCTATTAACTGATGAGAGTGATTCTTGGGTCACATCCAACGTCTGTTCTCAATTGTTTTGGTCTGATGGCACTTGACGATTCAAACACCAGATACCTCAGATTGATCCAGACAAGCCGCCATTTGTTCCGGTTTCTATCAAACCGTGGATTTCGGAAACAGACGAAAACAGATCTGTTTCCAAACTGATTAATCGTCTGAGTCTTATTATTAAAGTTAGCGCAGTCACTTTTGTGAAACAGATTAAACCTAATACTATTTCAAATTAATCAACATGGGTTTCTTTACATTATTGTGGAAGAGATAATGGGTCTTTTGGAAAGATTTATATGAAAATTACCAACCGAAAAAGCTTGTAAACTTGAGATAAACGAGGCATTTTACCAGTGCTTTAAATCACTTCATCACGTGGTAGGTTGGTCTGCCGTTTCTAAGCTGTCAATATCCATGCATGAAAATATTGATCACTCCACTAGTTCCGGATATACATCAGTCAGAGTGTGTCTATTTTTGTGTACTAGCTATCTCTGTATCGTTCATCGCGTAATCAGATCGCTGAGAATCCTACTCTAGTATTTTACTGCTTTATTAAAATAAAGGTTGAGTTAAAGTTGGTTGTGAAATGTAGTAAAAACGTCACTGGTACAGCCTGCGTTTCCAAACGTGCACGTGAATGACAAATATCTTATCTCTACAGACTTGAATGTATGCTAGCACGCCCTAAATGGTTGGTGTGGTAGTTGAAAACATGTCGTGCCTTCTCCCACCCTGTTGAAACCCCCGTAGGTGTATATGCAGGTGAATGGAACAAAGGACTCCGACATGGACTTGGTGTCCGGCGTACATGTGTAAACTCAACAAACAGAGAAAAAGAGGCTTCTTCAGATTTAAAAGTGATGCAAACTGAGGAATACCAAAATGAGACCGAGACGGATGCAAAAACCTGTGAAACTGAAACCAAATGCTCAATAGAACCCAATCAAGATCGAAAGTCCGGTTCCACTTTAGAAACATTCTGTGTGAGTAAAAAAGCTCAGTTGGGCCGAGCTATTATGAAGCGTCTACGTAAACAACATTCCGCAATGGAATTGGAGTGCTCCACCGACTCCAGCAGATTTTACGCTCTCAGTAAATCAGTATGTGATCCAGATGGATCACGGTTACTCCGATCGCCTGGAGCATCTACGATTCCGGAGGTTGTACTGATCTCCCAGAGCGCTAGGCCGTTATCTCCCATGGAACAGTCTCCTCTACCTGACGTCAAACTCACCGGTGGCAGCATCAGGCAGCCAACTGGTGAGGACTTGCAATTTGTCGAAGTTTACTCAGGCCAGTGGTTTGAAGACAAACGCTGTGGGTATGGAATCACAGAGCGCTCGAATGATTACAAATATATTGGCGAATGGTCGAAAAATCAACGACACGGATTCGGTGTCTCATATTTGCCTGACGGAACCAGGGAAGAGGGCGAATTCCAGGCGGATCAACTAATTGTGCGACTCAATCGAAAAAATAAGCTCCAGTTTTTGCGACAAAGCAAGCTTAAAGAATACGTTGAGAGTGCAGTGATTCGAGCGGGAGAAGTTGCAAAAGAGGCACGAAGCAAATCGGCCGAACAGGCAGAGACTCAGTAAGTAACCTAATTGTTTTCTTCGCATATCAGAATGCCCAGATTGAATTTACTGGTTGAGTTATGTCTTGCAACTTTGAAACACCTGAAAATATACGGACTTTCGGAAGCTGGCAAGACATGAACGGTGAAGTTGAACAGTGACTCGAGAGCAGAGTACATCACTTGAGCTGTTCAGCAACAATAGTCTGATACTTGTCATGCCATCAGCAGTGTGCTTTTAATTGCAACTTTCCAAGTCCAGCAGAACGGATCTATGTTTCGCTTTACTGTTTCAATTATAGTTTCTGTGACCTTTCACAGGAGGACCTATGCGCACAAGAATGTATATTCAGATGGTGTGACGCAACTATTAGAACCGGCACACGTGCAGGTGAGAGGCGGTAGGAAAAAGCCGTGGGTTAGAGTTCAACTAGGCACTTATGTGACAGCCAAATGGGCCTTTCATTCAACAAAATCTTTACCTATTCTCTTCGATATTCGATCTATTTTCAAGCCTAACCCGTCGATTGTTTCAGAAATTCAGACTGTCTTGTTATGGTTTGCTTTCTGAAGATCACTGACAGGGTTAAACCTGGGGCAATTTAATAGTCCCTAGGATTATCTTAATTGCGAGTGGCTGACCAAATGAGATAGATGCATTTTATTCGATGTTTTAGTGGATGAAATTCTAATCTATTGGGAAGATATGCTGGAAATCCTAGTACATAACCCAACTTATTTAGCCCCATCCGAGCATCCTGTCGCCTATACTTTACCAAGCTGTTCACATAGGCTATGCTGTTTGGGAAAATCCCGTTGACATATACTTGCCCCACACGAGGCTGGACTTTCTGGGCAGAGAAATACAGGCCTCTCGAATCAAAGAACGGGGGCACTTTGAGTCGGTCAACGGCTAACCGATTCGGGCTGCTACTGATAGCACAGGCTGTGAGAAGTAGGTTGTATTTTCTGCTATGTAAAAAGCATCAATATGCTAAATAAATGGCTACATCTCGCTTCAACACAGCACATTACCTAATATAGTTTTGAATTCGGCTCTGGAATTAAACACTTAGATGCCCTCGTGATGCTTAAAGCAGGCACAACTTGCACAGATTTTCCTACTCGTTGGAAGCATCTTAAGCGATGCACAAAATTTATTTGACACAAAATTAATGAAACCTCAAGTGAACTCACTTTCGACATGACCAGATGAGCGTCTTCCTTTGTCTATCTGTCTTGAACGAAGATTTTATTCACTAATGAGAATCTAAACTAACTTGACACACGTTCTTTTGTAACACAGCACGAAGATCAGATTACTTTTCCGTGTTCCTCTTTTGTCGAAACTTGGAAATCTCCGTTTCACAATTTCCATTGACGAAGAAAACCACCAACCAGGGCACTGCAGTTTAGTGCTGAGCGGAGCGATCTACGATTAGTGTGCAACAAGAAAAGTGACCGCGTTTTCGATAAGGCGCCTATTCTCAGAACGCCTTAAATACCAGTATTTTAAGAAGGGACGAAGTTTAGGTGTCGGAAATTATGAAATGAACCATTTAAGGAAAAATGAGTCGAAACAAAATCTCCAGCCTATACAGTTATAATGTATTTCAGACAAGAAAGTGAATTTACGACAACCACTTACTAGCGAATTTGGTTTAAACAGTTAGCTTACTTGCAACTGTGTAAGCTTCCGTTTATGACGTTCTTCAACTGAATCAGCTGCACAAAAGCTTTCTCTGGTGTTGGTTAGCACAGTATGCAAAACTCATTTGCGTCCACCATTTGAACTAAATGAGTTTGAGAATAAGTCTATTACGCAACTTGGGTCTAATTCAGGTTAAAGGAGGATATAAGATTGGTAAAAAGATCAAAGAGCGAACCTTTCTGATGAGCCCTAAGAAGAACAAAATCGTTAAACAGCTGCCCAAGATTATTAAGCAACCTCATGAGTAGTATGCTCCATCAATAGGAAGTAGTATAAACGGCTTTTAACTTACGAAACTCTTGGGAGCAAAATAAACATCCAATTTAGGGCATTTTTCAAATCTGGTCGTAACATTTAAGCCGTCAGGTTCCTCGAGATGGGAAAGTTAGTTGCAAGTACATGCACACAGCTCAAAAAACCAAGTGAAATTGTTGTCTAACAAAGTCCTTAGTGGTAAAACGCAGGAGCTTTCACGTACCTGGATAAGTCTTTTATCCTCGTATTCCGACCTTGTTTTAAGAGTAATCCACTCAAGAATGCTGGCTGACGCGATAAGTGGCGCATTTTTCTATCTGACGAGCTTTATTTTAGAGGTCACTCTCGTTGATAAATGTGCTGTAAGCCAATTCCGTCTTAACTACATTTGAACACACCTCCTGGCTCAGCTCTGGCGGAGAAATGTCAGATATGGAGTTTGACTTTTCGTTGCAAAAGGCAGGTGTTAAATAGCATCTTTCCACGATATTCTTGGAGTGTCTGTCAAGTACTGAGCCTATACGACGTTAGTTTGAGGATATGATGGTTAGGTGTGATCAGCTAATGTGGATTTAGAAGTATCGTTCACGTATCCTTTGGTTAAGAGACTACTCGGTTGACTACTGTGCCACTTGACTTAAACGCACTTGATAAAAGTAGGTTCCCGTTTGAGCATTTCGCACTTGTTGGAAAATTTTGACTGTTTGCCGTTAGATTTTGAAAGCGCTTATCGTCAAACTACGTGCTGTTGATTTGGTTGGACAGGCTGTTAAATTTTCCCATTAAATAACGCTTTCTTGCCTTGATGCACTATTGGCACGTTTTTCTCAGCTTTATCGATGCATCTTATCGGTGTCGCGACATCCTATGGGAAAAGGTGATTCACGTGGCTAGGTGCCAAGACAGAAAGCAATCAAAGTTGGCAAAAACGTTTTCATTCATATATTTCTTGGTATTTATCTCCTTGTGTCTCGTATAGAAAATCTTGATGGCATGCAACAAGCAGCGTGGATTCCGTGTAATCCAGATGAGTATTCAATGAGGCCGAAAAGCTGGATAGCCGCTACTAAATAGATTGGGAATAGACTGGTGGGTCAACTCATTTGTGCTGAAGAGATTCACAACAGAATTTAGGATTCAGTATCGAAGTCCAAAAGCTGGAAATCACGGAGAAAGTTCGGGACTGCTTGGGAACCTGCTGTGTGTGAGCTTTTAGTCTTCGCCACCTGATTTACTGAGTTGCATGAAAGCCAGCATGGCTGTTCAAAGATGATTTTTCCAGTGTTCATGACACCAATATTGGTTTCTTCCTTGAATTAAAAATCCTGCTTGAATTTCCTTGCCACCAACTACCAAACTTCATGTATTCCTTCTCACATGGAACATCCAAAATCCAAAGTGGCCAACTCATAGTACCAATATCTGAACTACAGGATAAGAGTAAACCGCGATGCGTGCAAACGTTACAAAAGCCTGAAAGCGCCCCCAAATTCAAACAAATAACAACAGTCCCGGAATCAGCAGATCTCACATCATTGTTAATATGGAAAGTATATTGTCACAGTCACTGTGATGGTTTCGTGATTGCAAAAGAAGACAAAATCCAGCCAGCCCCTTAACAAATAGAGATGCGATACAACGCACAGTGAGTAGACTGCCCTCCGACACCCCCCATGAGAGAAAGGTTTTTGTTACGAATGGTCAGCGGTCTAGGTTAAAAAAACATGAAATCGGTTGAGCAGGACTTGAATAAAAGTTGCTGAGACTACTTGCTGCAGGGCAAAGCTGTAACTGATCTTCCTCTTTGAACCGATGACGACTAATTCTCAAAGATAACCTTCCAGTTGCTCTCAGCCGACTTTTGCGTGCACTCTTCTGGATGCCAGTGATGAGCATCTAAGGTTGGACATTTTACATTATCATCTGAGGTCAGAAAAAGCCAAAACGCAGTGGATTTACTGGCCACGTTATTTAGCCTGAATGTGGGATAGGTGTGTGCAGTGCGCTGGTACCGAGCAACTGGTCAGGACACCCAAGATGGTAGTCATCCGTATCCGTCTCCCTAATGCTATTCCGTGCTCACAAAGGGGGCTCGTATGAACAAGACCTCCTCCAGCAAGCACGACAATACGCACCAAACTTTCATCATCGTTGCCGCTTTGCCACGGGTGGATTCGCCATTCAGGGAATGCGTAACGACCATCTTTCCGACTGACAAAGGCGGGTTGTTTTGCTTAACACCATTCCGAATTCATCGCCAGGACATTTCGGGTAAGCCGAGTCCGGTAGGGCAACAATTTGTGCTTCCTAATCACTCCGGTGCTTTCCCAATTTTGAAAAGTTTGAGGGGTCTTGGGATGGTCTTTTGGTTTAAAACTACTGACAACAGGATCCACGGTGCGAACCCAACCGTGGCTTGTCTACCTCTCTTGTCTAGGCTTCGATAAACTGATACTGTGATAGTTCTACTTCCTTCATGTACACGATAAGGTTCTGCGATTATATGCCTCGTTTGTTTTGTTTCCTGAGTCTTTCGAACTCTGTCTTGCTTGAGGCTGATGGAGGCTCTCAATGAAAGTTGATGAAAATTCTTTCGTTCATTGGGATCTTTGTTAGGTAAAATTCTCTTATCATGGACAGGATTTTAACCTCCCTCTCATCCTGTCTGCTAACTTTTATGGCCATTGTAATGAACTCCACCGAGATTGCATTGTATAAACTTCGACAACCAATCGCTTAAGACAAAGTTCTTTCACCATATTGCTATTCTAATGACTTCACTAACCGGGTATCAGATTACTGGAAGATAGGCGTGGCAATTCTTAAGACGGGCTGGTAAGTACTTTTGATTTTCAGTCTTTAGATCATCAGATCTGGATCGTATTACGCCGGACGTGCTTCTTTGACACTAAGCAGTCCTGTGAATCTGTTTTACCTAGATATCCACCGTACGCTTAATGCTCGAAGACATTAACCCAGACATTTGTGTGTTAACAGTGAGTTACATCTAGCAACATGCGGCACTCGACTTAAAAAACCCTTTTCATTGCCCAGTTTCCATCAATTTATCAAAATATTTATTGACAGTTTTGAGGTCCCTGACACGCAACTTAGACTCGCATGTAGGTTTGACGATCCCGAATATCAAAACGAAGAGCTGGGTTCAAAGGTATACGGTACCATTTACACAGCCGTTAGCAAAGTCATACAAGAAAACTCAATTGCCCTCGTTTATGGCGTCAGCAAGTGCGCCAGTCTGTCACTAGCCCGCAAAGCACCGTGTCAAGACCCATGTACCGAACAGCGGCTGACAGAAAGCTGGCTCATTAGTGTTGGTTGCGGTTGTCCTTCCTTAGGCCAGGCTTGAGATTCCGGTTGGCGGTGCGATCACACAAAATTCATGACAGAACAATTTATAACAGGCCAGGAGAGGGTGAGGAACACGTGTCGGTAAGTCGTGAGTGTGTAAGCGTGCCGTGTAAATGACACACGCACAAGTCAGTATGCGGGTGCCGGAGGTGGCAACCCTGGCAGCCCTTGAGCAAAACAATTGGAAGTTAATAGTACATGGGCGGTATAAGCAAATGAATGGGGGAAATATCACATCAAGTTGGATTCAATAGACAGAGACAAAAATGCGTCATTGTAATTATTTTTTCACAACCGATATGAGTGTGTTTGAAAATTCTGGATAATTTGGTAAGACAATGCTCTCTGAGAGAAAGTTCGCCAGGTTTGACATTTCGTCATTGCATTAAGCATTCATTTAACTGCTTACCATTTCATGCAAATTGATTATTTATAAGGTGCACTTTTAAAATTATGGTGCATTCCACTTTCACTATAGACTATAGACTAATTCCAGACCCAATTCTTTTGCATAAATTACTCCGTCCTATCAAAGTTAGGAAGGCGAACAATTTTCATTCTTTTTCCATTCAAAACAGTGCTGAGCTTGCGCGCATTGCATCACGGAAGGCAGAAGAAATCGTTTTCAAGGCGCGCTGTTTGTCACAGAAAGCCCGATATTTAGTTCAAGAAATAGAGCCAGCTTTTAAACAGCCTGGTATGTTTTGTCAAATTTCTTGAGTTTTTTCTCCGAAAGTCGTCCAGATTTATTTTAAAAGTTCCATTAGTTTGATGTAACTCACCTCTTAATTATATCCTTTACCATAATTATTTTTCGAGAGAATAGCTTCGTCTCTTAATTGCTTTGATTAACTTGACAGTGGAGTTCGAGTTCTAAGTGGCTGCGTCGGAAATTGGAAGTCAGACCTGACGTTGATTTGAAGGAGAACTGAATTTCGCGTCACTGAACCAGAAGGATATTGCAATTCTCCATTGACCAGCACGTATACTCGCTGATCTGGCCTGCACCTCTGTTGTTATATTCATGGCTGAAATTGGATGTATACCTATTGGGTGTCATTTCGTGACGATGAGTCATCTATATACTTTGTCACCAATCTTGTTTTGAGGATATGAAAAATTCCAGAATGGCACGATGCTGTCTGACTAAAGTGAGCATGGCAAAGGCCAGCTGAATTAGTTGACAGTCGTTTTTACCGTGACTGTTCAATTCTACTCCGTTTCCCTGCAGTAGAACAGTACGGAATAGTGAATTGGCCGCATTCTGCCCCGACAGTGTTGTGACAAATCAGTACACCGGCTACAACCAGATAGGGATAAATGTGTAAACAGGTTCCTTCATTGAAACGCTCAGGCAGTCACCGACCAAGTTAGTTTAATGACAATACATCAATCATAGGAATCATCTAAATTTTATCAGCCTCGTCCAAACGATGAATAGCGCTACTCACGTATCGTGGCAAAATGAATAATAAATCTGGATGTGCACTTTGATGAAATTTAGAAAGTGGAAACAGATCACTGCAAACAGCATATTTTTCAACTCCACTAAGCTTAAATATTGTTTCAGTTCTTATTTGTCTGGAAACGGAGATAGACCACTGGCGACTGTCAAACTGTCCCCGCCTTCATTGACAAACAGGCTTCAGTATCGATCCCACGGTAGGCATTTGGAGTGATGTTCCTCCAGACAAATACTTAGCAATTGCAACTCTTTTACATTCAGTGAAGCAGCTTCAGCCGGAATGTCGGAAAATTTCAAGTTGATTCACACGTGAAAAATTTCGATTTTGTATATACATGCTTGTTCAGTGGTGTTGACCTTACAGACATGACTAAGTACTATACGGAAAATAGTCCATATGCTTTAGTTATGAGTGGTCTTATACTTTTCGAGGAGTTACTTTCAGCAATCTTCACCAATCACCAGTGAAAGGTGAAGAGATAGATCACATGAATGTCATCAACCGAAATGATGTTGACGGTTTCAACTCCTTATTATCCTACCACAGTACTAGTCACAGTTTACCATGGGGATATATGCAATAGTATGTATTTGTAATCTGTTAAAAGCGTGCAAATTATTGCTGGTTTCTTTAGAAGTTCAGAGGCATTGTCACCAATTGTCAACCATACTGACAGTTTAAACCACACGCGTTGCCCGTGTTTTAGTGGGTCGCAATGTCGCACATTTCCTATTTTTGTAATCATCCTGATCATTATAAATTAGTACTTGTGGGAAGACAATGCTCTCCTGGAACCGTGCATTATTGAAGGAAGGTCGTTCAATTTACCAATCTATTCCAGTGCTGCTAGTCATCATGATTCAATGACGTTTATCTCCGATTCTTGGTCCCATGTTACTCTAATCAACGACACGGTCAGCTCCCTCGTGTTATTAGTGGAAACGCTTTCTAATTTGAGTTACATTCCACTACTATTAGGCCATAGGTTTTAGTAAAATGTAACGGCATGAAAAATTGAACTTTGTTAATACGTCGAGAGATAAATACGTCTACATATAGATTTGGCCGATGTTTCCATGCCAAGAAGAAATACGGAGATGTTTAAAAATGCTCAGGAAACCAACGAGACTTTGGATGGGTAACTTAAACCGCTTCACGGGGAAGAGCTATTTGATATCCTTTCAAAAGTGGAAATAGGGAGAATGTG